CCCCTAGTGGCAGAACACCCAACCAGGAATAAGAAGAGCAGCGAATCAACGACGAGGAAAAAGGACCAACCAGCGGCAAGACAGACTGACGAATCAGCGAGTGAGTACGGCAGCCAACCAGCGACACGGATGAGCAGCGCCGCGGCGGAAGACAGGAAACTAAAGTGAATGAACACAGTTTACACAGACAGCAGAAAGGAAACCTCAAAGGATTAAAACAGAACCTCGAAAGGAGCGACCAATGAGAAGCAGTGGAAAGGAAACGACGCCACATGGCAAGGGATGAAGACTATACAACTTATGCAAATAATAAATAATAATAATAATAATTAACAATCATTAATAATAATAAATAATCAGCAAACTAATAGCTGGCAGATAGCGAGAAATTATTCCTGCGGCAAAGAACACAGAACACTTTGCACATGAAGGGATAGTATATGCTCAAATATTTTATTTTAGGGGTTTAATGCGATCGCGCGATTACCGCGGGCTCGCGGATACTGCGATCTCGCGGCTTCCCGCGATCTCGCGGACCGCGCGATTTCGCGGACCGCGCGATTTCGCGGTTTTCCAAATCGTACGGATCTAGCGCGGACTTGCCGTTTCTCACTGCAATGGGCATTGACGCACATAAAGAGGCAGTATCTGTCCTGAGTTTTAGAAATGCAATTTAATGTAATTTAAAATTGTAATTTGTAATTTAAATTAATTTAATGCGATCGCGCGATTACGCGGGCTCGCGGATGCTGCGATCCCGCGGCTCTACGAATTTAACGGATACTGCGCGGAATGACAGGTCTTATGGAGATAGACAGGTCCATGTCGATAAATCGCGGAAATCACCGAGATGAGATACTACTCGTGGCCGGCAGTTCAAGGGGGGCAGCAGATGGGTCCTAGAGAAATGAAGGATAAGCGATAAAGATACAGCGGTGAGAACGAAGAGAGGCAAAAGAAAGGTGGGCAAACGGTAAAATACGACAGGAAGACTGAGGCACAAGGGCTAAGTAAAGAAAGCGGGCGAAGTCATAAGTATATATAAACATAAATGTATAAACATATAAACGCATAAACTCCAACGACATATTAAGCGTTAACGGAATAGACGGCTTAGGAAGACTAAGAAACATGTGGCAGGCAGGTGACGGGTAGGCAAGTAACGGCAAGATAGAAACAATAAGGAATCAGCGAGCAAGGGACGGCAGGCGCACAGATGGCAAACCTTGCTTTAGTAGCCAATAAAACAGTAAACATCAGAACAGGACAGACCTAAAACACGGGTAACTGTTAGACGACCTACTGAAAGAAAGAAAACGGAATACAATAGCGAGCAGAGGGACCGAGCGACAGATATTATAGGCGGCCAAGGCAGGTAGGGAAAGGAGGAAAGGAAGAAAGCTGACAGAGCGAAACTAAGGAACAGGAACGTAGATAAATGACAAAAGATACAACGGCGAGAACCGGGAGAAAAAGGGAGGACTGAAAACGGTAAAATGCGATAGGAAAGAATGAGGCACATTGGGACTAGGTAAAGAAAGCAGGCGAAGTCATAAACATATAAACATATAAACATATAAACATAAATGTATAAACATATAAACGCATAAACTCCAGCGACATATTAAGCGTTAACAGAATAGACGGCTTAGGAAGACTATGAAACATGTGGCAGGCAGGTGACGGGTAGGCAAGTAACGGCAAGATAGAAACAATAAGGAATCAGCGAGCAAGGGACGGCAGGCGCACAGATGGCAAACCTTGCTTTAGTAGCCAATAAAACAGTAAACATCGAACAGGACGGACCTAAAACACGGGTAACTGTTAGGTGACCTATTAAAGAGAGAGAAAAAGGAATACAATAGAGAAAGAAAACGGAATACAATAGCGAGCAGAAGGACCGAGCGACAGATACTATAGGCGGCCAAGGCAGGTAGGGAAAGGAGGAAAGGAAGAAAGCTGACAGAGCGAATCTAAGGAACAGGAACGTACACAGGAACCTGGGAGGCGGGGCAAGCAGGCCGCCATCGCAGAGAGGAACAGGGGTAAACGAGGGAAGTAGGGAGGAGCGAACATAGCATCGAACGAAAACCCAACCAATAGGAAGAGGATTAGAAGACGGATAGCGAGCGGTTGGAAGGCATGGAAGACGCGAACCTCTGAAAAGCCCAACAGGCGGGCGCACGCGCACAAACAAACCACCCTATGAGATGACGGATAAACGAAGCAGAGGAGATGAAGCTGGAAACAACGTGGTAAGAGGGAGGTAAAGCGGGACCGCAGGCCAAGAGTCAAGATCGGAGGGGAACTCACGAGGAAGAATTAACAAAGCTGGAATTTGGAATTCGGAACTTGCAGCAACTTGCAACAGCGGAAAACGGGCAGGGAAAAGGGGAAATAAGGAAAGAAATAATAGATACCATTAAACAAAGCAAGCAGCATATACTTAATCAAACAAAATCCAAATCAGGAAACCCAATCCAACATAAACAATTCCACAACTTCAATATACAACATTCAACTCTCAACTCATAAATGACATAAGATTCAAATTCAAATTCAAATTCAAATCAAAGAAACTAAATGACATAAGATTCAAAATTCAAATTCAAATTCAAATCAAAGAAACCCAACCCAACACAACACAAACCACAACCTACCAATCCCGCAATTGCAATATTAATTTTCAACTTATAAATGACATAAATTACAGACCCCAACATTCAGGCTTAAATTCCCAATTTCAACTTTCAGGCATTTAAACATTATTAATGTGTGTAAGTGCACTAAATTTACAAGACTCATACGATTGCACAGATGAAATCTAAACTAACCAGAGTAACAACAACTTGACGCGACAAATGACAAATGAAAATGACAAATGACAAGTATAAATACCAAATATTAAATACAAACATCCAACAAGCACATATATATATAATACGGCTCTACATCATATATATATATATAATACGGCTCTACATCATATAGCATAATGTAATATAGGACTATAGTACCATACAGGGCAGCGGTAGGCAAATGGCATAGTTTGAGCATATATACGTACATGCTCACGTAGCTGCACGGAGGTCACTCACTCACTCACCTGAAATCACACGGGTTCATCCATCAAATCATCAGGCATTAAATCATTTAATTTAATTAAATTACACTACAAATTAGTCACCTACCTATCTATCTAAATCTAAATATAAATATACAAATATATAAATATATCAATTCAAATCTAAACTATAACTATACCTACTTAGTCAGATTAAATTTAAATTTAAATTTAATTTAATTTAAACTTTAAAGGGGAGTTATTATAAATAAATCTAACCAGTGAAGCGCACGCGCGCAGCATAAAAGACGCGAAATGCTGAAAATGGTAATAACGAGGCAACAAAATAAAGCGAAGCGAAATGGACTAAGAATAAGAGCTTGCACGCAGCGGAAGAATTAAATCAAGTGGGTAGGTGACAAGCAGATAGAGGCCAACCAAACTGAATCGCAACCGAATTAATCTCATGCAACAAACAAATGCAAAATCTAAAGTAAAATCAAATCAAACCAAATTCGAGAACCCAAATCTAAATAGGCGCGGGACGAAAGGACGCAACAAGCAGGGAAAACGACAAGGAAGAAGGTAGAAGAAGGACAAGCAGGAAGGAGAGAGAGGAGAGACGGAAAAGAAAACGGGAGAGACGAAGGAAGAAGACTACGAGGCAAGAGTGGGAAATCGCAAGGGTAGGTAACAAGGAGACCAAGCGACAGGACGAAATCATTCAAGGAGCAAGCAAGGAAGAGAGTAGTAGTAGAAGCAGCAGTGAGAATAGTGATAGCAGTGAACGACAGATATAAGGAGTGTGTATAAGTTTGGGACTTAGTGGAGTTATAGATAAAGGAATCGAGGCAAGGTAAGTTAATACAAAGTCAGCATCGGTATATAGAGAAATCAGAACTAGATAAAGCTAAATAAGATAGATTAAACTAACTTAACTTAACTTAACATAATATAATCTAAAGTGAAATTGCTTTTAATTAAGGAATTGACCTGATAAATACCATATAGTCAGATGAAAGGGGCAAAGTTAATTAGTTCAATCGAGCACACGAGATAGCACATCACATAACTTAACAAATTAACAGCATTAGAACAGGATAAAGTAAGCCAAGGTTATAGCAAGCATTCAAGAAATATAACGGTTAAATTCCTAAATTAAGTAATCTAAACTTGATGTAACTTAATTTAATTAACTAACTTAACATGGCACAGCTTAAGGCGTAAATCTAGCCAGAGACGTAGTCACATACACAGACCGTAATTCAAGACGATATTAGTACATAATTACGAGCAAATAAATCAGATCAAATCAATTAAACCTAAGCTAAATTTAAATTTGAACGAGCTAAATTAAATTTAAATTAAACTAAGCCAGAGCAAAGTGAATTGGAATAATTAATAGAACACAATGTAGGAAACTAAACTCAAGCATGGAGTTCAAACAAATCAGGATGAGGAACCTATAAACCATAAGCTAATAAATTTAAATTCAAGCTCGAACAAACAAGATGAACTAAATCAGATTAAACTAAATCACATCAAGTTTACATACCATAATTGAAATCCCCAATTCTAGACTCTTAAATTTAATTTTAAATTTTAAATTTCAATTTTCAATTTTCAAATTGAAATTTAGAATTTTAATTTCCAACTAAATTCTCAATTTTAATGTTCTCAATTTAATCCTTTCAAGTTTAAATTTCAATCTTCAACTTTCATTCCTCAAGTTCAATTTACAAGTAGCAAATTTCAAATTTCAAAATTCAATTTCAATCTTCAAATTTTCAAATTCCAAATGTAAACTTTAATTTTAATTTTGTTTTTTGAATTTTAAAGTTCAATTTAAATTTCAAATTTTAAATGTAAAATTACAAATAAAACCACAAATCTCAATCTTTAATTTTCAACCTTCAACCTTCAATCCAAAAGCAGAATGGAGAGCATCAAGGAATACAAGGGCAGCAAGATTACGTCGGAGGATATCAATAAGCTACTGAGGGAGGCGGCCCGCAACATAGAGGAGAAGACAAGCAGGGAGAAACGTGCAGAGGAGGAGATGAGGAAAAGCGGAAACGACAAGGCAAATAACAACAAAGGACATAGCAGGAAAAGGGAAGCGGAGCGGGGCGAGGGTTCAGCCGGAGAGCCAAAAAAGGGAAGAGGACTTGAGGATAAACGGGAAGAGGAGGAAGAGCTTGCTCTAATGGAGGCGGTCGAGGCAGCGGAAGCCTCCATGTGCGAACTAGAAGAGGATATGGAATGGGAGGATGAATTCAACCAAGGCTGGACAGAGCCTATAGGAAGCTCAACGCCGCAAACGAGCGAGTACGAAGAAACGAAAAGGGGAAAAGGCGAGCAAGGTAAGGCAAAAAGGAAGCTGCCGCTGGTCTTAGAGGACAGAATAGTCGGTGCTAAAAGTGAAGATTTGAAGCTGCAACCAGTAGTTAAGCTGGCCCGACTAGCAGGGGAGGAAGGAAGAAATGGAGGAAAGAACGGGAACAAGAAGAGTGAAGGACAACAGAGCCAAAAGGAGGGGAAGAAAGAAGGAGATGAAACAGGGAGCGGACGAGACGAGGAGGAGCACGAAATTTGGAAAATAGTAAAGAAGGTAAGAGAAGAGAAAAGAAGGATGGAGGAGAAGCGCAAGGAGCAGAAGAGCAGCGGAGAAGGGGGTCAAGCTGACGAGAGGAAAAATGGAGGCGAAAACGGAGGGAACAAAGACAGGGTGAGGACAGGCGCGAAAGAAAGGAGGGAGGAGACAAGAAGCGAGGAGCTACCAAGAAAGGAAGGATTGAACAAGGGCAAAAGGGGTGAAGGATACAGGAGTGATGTAGTCATCTTGGTGCAATACCCGAGAGAGGAGGTGGACTACTGGAGTGCCATCAGATGGCTCAAAACAAAGATACACACCTTCACGGAAGGACTCAAGGAAATAAGGGAAACAAGGAAAGGAGATATTATTATTATTCTGCAGAGAGGTAAGGTGGGCAGCACAAACACCGGCAAGGAATGCGCTGAAGCAATTAACAGGGAAGGTAATGGAAAGTGGATAGCGCAGATTCACACTGATAGAGTTGAGGTGGCAGTAAAGATCTCTGACCCGGACCTAGAGAGGGATGAACTCATGGAGGCATTCAAGAAAGGCGGACTGGAAGATCTGGTGGAGAAAGGAAAAATCTGCTTTAAACACATAGGGGGCAGACAAGGAACATGCCACCGCACCGCCTTTCTTGAATGCACCAGAGCGGCAGCAAAGCGACTCACGCAGGAGAAAAGTCTAAGAACCAAGTGGCAGGAACTCAGACTCTACTTCCCAAGAAGGAAGCAGGAAGAAAGCGCGAGAGGGAAAGATAGGACAAGAGGGAACGAAGCGCGCGAAAACAGTGAGAAACGGCAGCCCAAACCCGGAACCAGCAAGGATCCTTGGTGAGGATTCGGAGCAACCGAGAGTAGTGGACGGGCCGGCGAACGAGGAAAAGAAATTAAAACAAATTAAATCAAGTTAAACTAAATTAAGTAACTAAATTAGAATAAGAAGCGAAATAGATAAATAAATTAACAGAAAGGACCAATTAAACAAGTTAAGCATAAGGTAAATTTAAACAAAATAAGTAGACAGTAGGTTAGGAATAAGAAATATTGTACAGGTACATAAATTAATTAGTAAATTAGTTAAGTAGTGAGTAAGCTAGGCGTTATTATTGTACTAATTAATAGACGAAGGACTTTAACAACAAAGGACAAGATAGACACATTACCTTATCCGCCTTATCCATTTCATCTCAGACTTCTTATTACCTCATACTCAGCACTTTACTACTCACATTGACATTATCACAACTTAGCTATCTCACCAACATGCAAAACAGGCGAAGCGCAACACGCGACAAATAACAAGTTACGCAGAAACAGAAACTCAGACCTAGACATAAATTTAGACGCGAATTGATTCGGATTTAAATTTTAAAATTCAAAATTTTAATTAAAATTAAATTCCTAAATTCCTAAACTTATGAAACTTATAAATTTAAATTTAAACTTAAAATTCGAGAGGCAGACTCCAAGTTCAAGGGCCAAACGTGGGCATAAATTTGAAATTTGAAATTTCAAACTAGAAATTTGAATTAGCAGACTAACACGAATATAAAGTATAAATATAAATATAAACTTAGCGCTAAACTCGAAATCGCATTAAATTAAAATCAAACTTAGAAATAATAAATTGGAATATATCAGGCACTTTAAGTAAATCACCTGACACTATACATGATACATTATACAACACAATACAAGGCAATCTATTAAATCTAATATTAAATCTATTATCAGTCACACGCACAGTACGCACTAGATATGGTGTAATACAAGCACATGAATTTAAACATCAAACAAGCACAAAGTATAAACAGTAATCAGTACGAATCAGCATAAATCAGGCAAGGAAATCAGAACATAGGATGGCTAGGCGAACTCAAATCTGAAGTTAAATAAACAAATTAATTTAATCTCAGGACTGACTTAATCAAAGCTAGCACGGACCAAGTTAAAGTTAACAAAGTCTGACTAGGACATTAAACTATAAATTACAAATTATTCATTATTCACAGAACTATTCGCAACTTAACTGGCGACAAGGAGCCGCAAACTCCCAGTATAAGCAAAGTCCCAGTATAAGCAAAGATAACGTGGCATAGAATAACACGCGCAGTTAACCTTACAGAATAAAAATAAAAGCGAGGCTATAGCAAAACTAACCAATCCAATCAAAGCAGATAAAAATCGAAAAATCGAACTAAAAATCGAACTAAGGAATCTAATTAAACTAATAAATTAAGTAAACAAGCAACTAGCTTAAACGTTAGGAGAACAGGATAAAGTTAACTTAACGTTGCTAACCAGAATTAGCAGATGTGAATAACAGTTCGCAATTCGCAATTCACAATCCAGAACAGGCAAATAATAAGCTAGCGGAAACAAGTCAGCGCCAACAATAGTAGCAATGACGTAGTATCTACGGAAAGAAATTGACTAGGTTTTCTTAAGGCATACTTGACTTCCAAATAGCAACACAAAGTAATAAAGAAAGCGAGATAAATTAAATTAATAAATTATTGAAATAGGCACTTACAACGATAAAAGTCATCGTCTAACACGATACGACGACTTAATTAAATTAAATTAAATAAATTAATTAATAACTTAACCAATTTGGAGCATAAGACTCAACTATATTGCAAACAGCGGATTTAAGAACTAAATAGATAAAATAGACACGAGGTGCATGCGGGCGTAAATTTGCATGAACACAAGGGGTGCATGGAGCAGATATCACACGGTAGTAATAGCAAAGATTAGGTAATGAAGAACGAGCGGCGCAACAAAGCTATGCAGAGGGAAACGGAGGCGCGAACGGACGGTGACAACGTAGGCAGAAGACAGGACGGAGCTTAACAGGCGAGCAGCATCATCAGGAAGTCTGAGTCGAAAACATCTGAAAATAAGAAAATGAGATTAAGCCTGATCTTTAGTGAATATAAAAAAAATTTTTTTTTTTGAAATTTTTAAGCCTCTAGCTCACAGCTTACCAGCCCCACAGGGCGAACATATGGGAGAGAGAGACGCAAGAAAGCTAGGAGACCAACGCTTAGTTAAATAGCAAATAGCAGAGAGCCAAATGAAAGCAGACAGGAAGCGGTACCAAGACATCGTGAAGTACCTGGAGTATTGGCGAAGACAGGACGGCGAGACCAAACAACGGATGGCGAGACCAAACAACGATGTACAAATGACGATAAGGATACAGCAGTAGTAGACCTTCTTCCCTGGAAATGAAAAGGCAAGACAGAAGTTAAATGGAGGCGGTACAAAGTGAAGCGCAAATATAAGCGATAATAAACAAAATACTTAGCTTGCTTATGAAGCAGGTAAACGGTAGAACGGAGCAGCATGCACGCATGACACAAGTAGCGCGCATCGCACAAATAACAGAGACCAGTACACAGACATACTACACTACACCACACACACAGGCATACTAATATACATACTAATATACATACACGTACAAGCCAACACACACGCTGCAGCTACACACCACAACAATAACAACATGCAACACAGCTATTAAACCTAATGCGCGGCGCAAACGAGATCGCACAAAACAAAGTAGAAGCAGTAAGAAAAGAGCGTTAGCGAGACGAAAGATTGTTCAGGGAACGCTCCACCTGCTCTTTTACCAACATCACGTACCTTATGAAATGAAGAATAGCACGACGATGGGAGTCATCACCCAGGAGTACCGAAACAAAATTCGAAGGGGAAAGGGAACCAACGACACTATACAAAGAAGAACGTTTGGACTCCCAACAAGCGCAAGAGAAAAGAGTATGTTCTGCATCATCTGGGATGTCGGAAGAGCAAAACCAGCAATTAGGAGAAGAAGTACGGCCGATGCGATGAAGATAGCTGACGAAGCAACCATGACCGGTCAAGATCTGGGTTAAATGAAAATTCAGAATACGAGGACCACCGGATTCAATCCAGAAGTGAAGGTCAGGGATAAGCCGACGAGTCCACTCACCATTAGGACAGTTATTCCAGGCGGATTGCCAATCTCGCCTTACCAGAAGATCGATCGAGCGAGGAGCATCTACGCCGTCCGAAAGAGGATCGAGCTCAAAGCAAACGGTACGAAAGTGCAAGGAACCCCCAAGGAGTACAACCAGATAAAACACATAAACATTGGTTGACACGGTGCGATAGGCGCGACAAATGCGCAAAAGCCCAACACGCTGCGTCGAATTGAGACGGCCAAGGATGTAGGAGTAATTCACGGCCTCAAACCAAACGGGGGCGCCATACAAAACAATGGACTCTACTACACGATAATATAACAAGCGACCTGTAAAACCGCAACCATGTAGGTTTGGGATAAGGTAAGACAAGCGTTTGGCAACAGCCAGAGCTTTGGTACAAACCT